TAATATTTATTTATTTCATATACACTGTTCTACCTACATGCCAGAAGAGGGCACCAGACTGAATTGTAGATGGTTGTGAGCCACCATGTGGTTGCTGGGAATTGAACTCAGGACCTCTGGAAGAGCAGTCAGTGCTCTTAACCTCTGAGCTATCTCTCCAGCCCTGCTCTCTCCCAGATTTAAGCTGTGGGTTGACTCTGGCCCCATCCCACCCCTACCCCATCAAAGAGTACCTTGTGATTTTGACCAATGACTAAGGGAAGAGACAACTATGGCCAGAGAATGAGAGAACCAGGGCAAGGGTTAAGGATGCTCCCAAACCCCCACCCCAGGCACCCTAAGAACAGGGACAGCTCTGAGCTCGGGAGTTCCTACAAAGCATTAGAGGCACCTGCAGGGAGGACACAAGGCATGAGACTTCATGACCATACCTGGAGACACTGTGCACAGAGGCCGTAGAAGCTGAGGGGACTCTCGAGGGCACGGAGGCGGGAGTCAACACTGCTAAGCTACTACAGCTGGTGAGAATGTCCGTTCTGTGTTGACCTGTAAGTCCCTATTGTAAGTACCCAGTAGTCTTTATTTTTTCTGCAAATGAGCAGAGGTGTGGGCCACAGACCTTCCTGTGGCAGCAAGATCCTTCCTGAAGGACTGGCTGCCTGAAGCAGAGAGCTGTCTGCTGAGCAGCCCCTCCTCTTGGCACTGCTCTCAAAGTAGCTGGCTGTTTGGGACATTTGACCATCACTCTGAGAATATGCCACCATAACTGACTCCTAGGGGCCTTGCCCCACTCCCAACAACTCTACACAGCTCCACCTGTCTAGAAAGGCAAGATCCAGAAGCCACTCTCACTCGTGACGGGAAGAGGGCGGTCTCTGCTGTGACTCAGCAAGAAGCCAGTGGTACCTGCTCTAAATCCTCTGCATATACATTATATGCATTGTGGTTGGGTCACCTGGTGTTCTTGTGGGGCTCCCAACGGTCGGGGTGGGGTTGCCTGACTCTTTGGCCTCTCAGAATCCATCTCCTCCCACCAGGTTGCCTCAAACAGCCTTGATATGACTTATGTAGCCAGTCTTTTTGTTGTTGCTGTTTTGTTTGTTTCAAGACAGGGTTTCCTCTGTGTAGCCTTGGCTGTCTTGGAACTCACTCTGTAGATAAGGCTAGCCCAGAACCCACAGATATCCACCTGCTTCCGCCTCCCAAGTGCTGGAATTAAAGGAATGTGCCACCACCATCCGGTCTCTATTTTTTTTTAGAAAGATATTTTTATTTTTTAGACGAAAAATAGCATTTTGTTTGGATAATTGATATATTTGCCTATCAGAATATTCATATCAATATAATTTCATAACACTTACTTAGGTGTTAGGGTTTTTTATTTTCAAAAAATTTTCATTTCACATACCAACACCATTTCCCCCTCTCTCCCCTTCTCCATCTCAGGCCCATCCACTCCTCAGAGGGGGTAAGTGCTCCCTTGGGGAGTCAACAGTGCCTTGTCATGCTGTGTTTGGTTACTAACACTAGAAGGCCTTTTTGTTTTTTGAGGGTTTTTTTGTTTGTTTGTTTGGTTGGTTTTTCCAGACAGGGTTTCTCTGTGGCTTTGGAGCCATGCCGATTAGTGTAAATAGAATCCTCCGTTAGCATGTCCTGCACCCCTTCAGACTGTATAACCAGGCTGCTCAGCTTTCTCCTCCAGTCAAGTGGGAGACATCCGAGATGTCCCCTGGTGTACAGTATGCCCAAAAGGCTTCCTCAGAATATCTTTCATGTACTGGAGATTTGTATCCACAGTAGTGCAGGCTGATCTGGTAACACCACCAACAGTGGCGACTGTGTTACCAACAGTGAACACACCAGAACAGAGGCAGAAGATGACGGGTGACACAATTACTCAACACCCAAGGGTTAGGAGCTGTAGTGCTAACTTGCACTGCCTGCCACTACCACTAGCTACTGCTCAAAGCTGAGGGTTTCGTTGACTGCTGCAGGCAGAGCAAGATTCCTCTAACCTGAGCGGCTGGGGCTGTCCTCTGGCTCCTGAGGCCTCAACCCCATGCACCTCTAGCTCCCGGGGCTTTGGACCACAAGCTTGAGTCAGCTGGTCGGTCGGTCCGTCGGGTTTCTGGGCCAAGGGTTACTGATGCTAGAACTACTCTACTCTGATTTCCATGGAGTAAAATGACACCGGCTAACTAAGGAGCTAACAGCGATTGCCAAGGTCCCTGTGATTAAACAGGAGACAGCTATGTGCCCTGAGCTTCTCTCTTAGATGACACCTGGACATCTCCTCTGCCAAAGCTGGAGGTCCACAGGACACGAAGATGCTCAGCGTCCACACAGGTATACATGGCCGTGACCTGCTTGCCCAGGACCATCGAACCACACGGCATGCAGGACAAAGTTACGTAGTTTGCTGTGCCCAAAAGATAGACGTGACATACATGTTATGAACCTGTGAAACCAATGTTCAGGATGCCTTCAGCAGAGACCTTCCCAGCACCCACACCTCGACCTGTTCTAGCACAAACGCCGTGAATGAGGTTATTGTGCAAGTCTTTTGCTGGACAATTTATGTCTGGGTTTTATCTTCTGGTACCAGGTGCATCTTTAGCCTTGCTTTTTTATTTATTTTATGGCCTTGTTAAATGTCATACTGAAACACGGGGCCTTTTTTTTTTTTTTTTCTTTTGGTTTTTCTGTGTAATAGCACTGGCTGGAACTCACTCTGTAGATCATGACGGCCTTGAACTCACAGAGACCCCAGTGCTGTGACTACAGGCATGCACAACTCATCTAGCTTCAAGATTTGAGTTTTTACACTCAGGATTGCATCATCCTTGGCTTCTCACAGCATTGTGGGCGTTATGCATTCTGCTACTGGGCAGTCCCTGCAGGCCTTCTGTGCACACACCACTGTTTCTCTGGGACAGGCCTCGAAGTGGTTCTTCAGCTCCACTGAGAGCAGTCCTTTACCAACCCAAAGCGGTACCTCAGCACACCCTTCTTTCAGTTTAACTGGTTGCTGAGAAGATGGCATTCTGGCTTAGGTGTCAGGCATTCTCGGTTCCTGTCCTATGCTCAGGTATTATTGACATCCTAATACTCATATCTATACCAAACCGCTTACAAATGCAACTGACACTCCCAGCTCAAACTGTCCCCCCAACAACACCCCCAGCCGAGAAGATGGAAATGAAATCCAATTTCACACAAGCTAGACAAGTGTTCCACCACTGAGACACATCCTATTATGTTGTCTTTTAACAAACACAAGTTTCTAACTTTGATAAGGGTTGCAATGACCAAACTTCCCCTCACAGTCAGCATATTTTGGTGTCAGAAAACCACCTCGGGTATTCCCCTGTGGCCTCAAGCACAGGGGTGCTTGTCTTTGCATAGTAGGTTCCCTTGGGTGGGAAGCATGTCCTCTCTGGTTTCAGGGCAGGGCCCCCGCTTCCGCCTGCTTGTCTCCAATGTGCCTGGGGTGGCCAGGGCTTTAGTCCTTGTGTCAGTATGAGATCCTCCTGACCTTAAGATCGGGTTGGGGTGTTAGGGACAACTCGGTCACTCTCCCTCAAAGTCAGGGGGGGATAGTGTCAGGTGGCCCATAATGTCCCATGTTAGGCTGCAGGCAAGGACACCTGAACACCAAGCATCGCCAATTTGAGAGGGTTGTGGTCAACTGACACTTGGCTTTATTCCCACCTGACTCTGTGGAAGCTCAGGACACAGAACAGTGAGACAATATATGTGAGCTGTCTCAAGCCCTTGTGTGCGGAAAAAGCTGGTACTGAAGTCCTTCCCAAGAGACAACTCCCGACAGCTTGACCAAGGATGGGTCCTATGTTTTAGCCCCTATGATGGGCTCTCTCCTTCGAAAGATCTCAGACCGGAGTCCCAGCGAGACACACACACACACACACACATACACACACACACACACACACACACACACACACACACACACACGGGATTAAGTTCCAGCTGGTCTGTGTTTGGATTTTTTTTTTTTTTTTCTTTCTAGACAAGGCTTCTCTGTGGCTTTGGAGGCTGTCCTGGAACTCTCTCTGGAGACCAGGCTGGCCTCAAACTCACAGAGATTTGCCTACCTCTGCCTCCCAAGCCTGGGATTAAAGGCGTGTGCCACCAACGCCCAGCTGCATTTAGATTTTTAAGGTCAAGTTCCAAAGGGCCACCAGAAATCCTATAGCAGGGCAGTTTTCAGAGGCAGGGAGCTTAAGTGGACTTGTTTATAGCCCAAATCACAGTCATGAGGAGCCAAGGACAGTCCTGTTCCCACAGGCCCTGGACCAGAGCTGGAACCCACACGCTGTTAGACACCGGTCCTCCGGAAGTGTGCTAGGAACAGTCACTGGGACAAACCAGCATGGTGCCCTGCCCCAGGGCCAGAGGCCACCAGTACCAGGACTATCAGCCCAGACATGAGCCGTCACTCTTACCACACCACAGCAGGCAAGCAGGAAAACCCCATGAGAGAAAGTTCTAGCAGAGGGTCCAAGGTGCCCAGAGTCTGGTCATGGCCTCAGACCTGAGTTTTAGCAGGAGGCTAGAGGTTGCCTAGTGGGACCTACCACCTGTCCAGTGTCTGGCCATTGTTTGGAGCTGGGGATAGGAAGGAAGCCAGGGCTAGAGCCCGCTGGCTGGGAGAAGCCTGGGCTAGGAGAGAGCCATCCCACCAGGCTGTGGCTACATCCTGGACACAGGCTGCTTTGTGAGACCTGAGCTGGCCCAGCAGCCTTCGGAACAAAGGCCTTCTGTACACGCCGAAGCTTCCCCTCCTCCTCTCTCCCAGGCAGAGCCCCCAGGGCTCCCATCCATCCAGCTCCCCCAGACAGAGCACACGCGCTCGCACGCGCACGCACACACACACACACACACACACACACACACACACACACACACACCCCACACACACACACACCAACAAACACAAACACACACACACCCACACACACACACACACACATCCGTAGCCCAGTATAGGAAGAGACTCTGCTGTAGGAGGCACAGGGAAACAACTAGAGCTGTTCCACTCAGGGGAGGCACAATACTTCCTGCACTGTGGGGCATGTGTGACTCCAGCACAGTGACAACCATGCACCACGAATATCCCAGTGTCCCAACAAGAGGACGTTAAAGGAACAGTGGAAGAGGGCAGCAGCCTGGTATCCCCACAGACAGCTCTACCATGCATGCGTAGGTCCCCTCCAAACTTCTCAGGAGGACTAGCCCATGGCGACTCCAAAACTGCAGCCAACAGGGCTCTGGACCTCTGCCCCCACGCCGGCCCCAGTCTGCTCCTCTGAGACCCTATAAAGACCCCTACACAAGTGGGCACATCCTGGGGCCTTCAGTGACCAGGAGCCATGATCCAAATCAAGCCAGGCAGGGCACCAGCCAGCCTGGCCAGCTCCCGCTGACACTGACTCTGTAGTTGGTGCAATACACTCTTCAGAGAGGCCTCCTGGGCACTCAGTGTCCTGATCACCTTGGCTGCCTGCAGGCCTTGGGGTCCTGGTGACTTGTCCTTACTTCTCACCAGCCGATGGGGTCTTTGGGGCGGGGCAGGGTTACTGGATGGCTCCCAGGAACCCTGCAGGGCCACCAACTCCCTTTCGACCGCTTCCTGCAAGGTCTTCCTTATGGTGCTCCACTCTGGCCGCTGACCTATGCCTCCAACCTGTATGAGAGAAGATAGAGAGGCACCTGAGCCAAGGGCAGCTCTGTTCCCAGGATGACGGACAGGCCCAGGTGCGCCAAACAACCCTGCAGCTCCAGAACTTGAAGGCCAGGTGTTAGCTCATGGATCATTCCCACCACAGAAAGACAGGCCATCCCAGGGACCAGTTAATAAAAACAAAACAAACAAACAGAAAAAAAAACAACTGGCTAGGTTGAAAACATTTGGCCCTCAGAGAGTACCTGGAGCCCACACCAGCACCAGCTGGGACACAAGGACCCAAAACCCAAGGCAGCAGGATCTCTAACCTCAACTCTCCAGGGCTCCAGGCCTACTGGCTGCTGGACCACTGGGCAGTTTCTTTCTAGTCTACCACATTCCGTGAGACCCTTCAGGACATAAAGGAAGATTCCAGAGACACCCACTACATCCAGGATTCAGTGCAGCGTCCCCCACCAACCTGTTCCACCGTTTGTCTTCCCACTGCTAGGGTGGGGGTGGGGGGGCATAGGGTATTACTTCTAACCCTTAAGGCAGACCCTATCAAAAGATCTTGTAGATGGCAGGCCTGGAGTGAAGGCCACACTGACGAGGTCTTCGCAGCCACTAAGCCACTCCAAAGACCCCAAAGAGCCACCTTGAGTCCTGGGTGCTCTGCTACATGGGCTCTGCCTTCTGGTTCTTTTTTTTTTTTTTTTTTTTTTTTTTTTTTTTTTTTTTGGTTTATCGAGACAAGATTTCTCTGTGGCTTTGGAGGCTGTCCTGGAACTAGCTCTTGTAGACCAGGCTGGTCTCAAACTCACAGAGATCTGCCTGCCTCTGCCTCCTGAGTGCAGGGGCCGTATGGCTGACCAACAGGCATATGCATGGTGGAATGGGGTTACAAGGGCAGGCAGTCTGCACGGGGTTGCCTACCTCTCTATGGGGGTCCCTGGGGAAAGTCCGAAGGTGGCAGTGAAGGATGGCAGGGCCCCTTCCCTGCAAGCCGATGCTGTTGGAATTTGCTGTCCCAATATATCACCATCAAATTTAAACTTTTTTTTTTGTTTTTTTAAGACAGGGTTTCTCTGTGTAGCTTTGGAGCCTATCCTGGCACTAGCTCTGGAGACAAGGCTGGCCTCGAACTCACAGAGATCCACCATCAAATTTAATCCAAATAAGTAAGGTAATTCATCCAGAGACTTAGTCAAATGGTTAATGCACACCCCCCCAAAAAAAAATAGCACGTCCAGATTAGGGGGGAAAAAAAAGGCAGGGCTGGAGGGTGGGTTGGGAAGAGTGGGGCACAGCAGCTGCCTGGGAGCTCACCTGGGCTTCCCATGCCGCCCGCCGGGGCTCAGCCACTTCCTGGAGCTCCTCCTGCAGGGCCTGCAACTCTTGCTTTACCAGCGCCAGCTCACGGAGCCCATGTTCAGAGATCATGGGCAGCACTGTGGGCTGTGAGGTCACAGCGGGACTCTCCGACGAACAGGCATCCAGAACTGTATCCTGCAGAGACCCCAGTGAGATGGTCAGGGACACACATGGGGACAGAAGATGTAGACGTCGATGGGGCAGGGGTGGCCTCCCCAGGTCCCACTGTGGACAGGGCAGCTCATGACTCCCCGGCTACCACTTCTCTAGCATTCAGGGAAGCACAGAAAGAAGACTTCTGGGAGAACCAGAGGTGAGGACCAGAAACATGAGGCCTCCGCTGAGGCCCAGAAGATGTCCTGAGCAGAGGACCCCTTAGAGCCCCCTCTCTCCTCCTTCCTCAAGGTAGGAGGATCTTCCAAACCCTACCACCAATGAGCCTAGGGCTCCCGGCCAGGGCCAAGGCCAGGGCCAGGAAGGGTGGGGGCAGCAGGGAAGACTTTCTCACCATCCACTGCCAGAAGACCAGCTCGCAGCGCCGCCACTCCAAAGCTGCCTCCAGACGGATGTTCTCACTCTCCAGTGCCTGCAGAAGCTAGAGAAAAAGACACAGCTGGGCCAGACTGTCCCTGACCACCTCCCAGGCCAACCCCTAGTCCAGGGGGCCTTTGGCCAGAGTGCTTTGCCCAACAGTCCGCTGACTAGAGGCTGTCCCAAAGCCTGAACAAATGAGGAGGCCCAAGACTGCGGAGCCTGCTGGGCCATCCCATGTAACTTTGGGAACCCCCAAAGGTGCTGGGGATTTGTGCACAGGACAGGGCCATGGGACGCAGCTCATGCAGGAGAGGGAAGGGCGGGGCCAGGTCAGAAGATAACCACTGCCTGCCCTCAGCAGAGCAAAGCCTGCCCTCAGCAGAGCAAAGCCTGCTAGTCCTTCACTAGCAGCTTTGCATCAGGGGCAGAGCAATCCCCATGCCTGACCTCTCCTTCCTGAGGAACACTGACTGGCTGGAGCCAGAAGCTCCTTGTCTCCCTCCCTTGGTCTCCTGGCTGGGAACCCCAACTTGGAGGCGCCCTTCTAAACACAGATCATCCAACACACCTGCTCCTCCTAGAAGACAGAATGCTTAGTAGTCTGTACATTGAGAGTACCTCTGGATGCCCTGCAGGTGCCAAGTCTAGTCAGAGGCCCAACCCACACAGAACCTAAGTGCTCCACCCTTGACACTTGGATGGGGGACCCAGAGAGGACGCTTGCAGAAGACAGCCCAGGCCAAGCCCTCCTGACCTAAGACCTATACCCCTGCCCCTCACAGAGGATGCAGGAAGGGTCCATGGCCTGAGAAACTGGGGAGAGAGACCTTGAATGCTAGCCAAGGCCAGTCCACTGGGGCAAGCCCAACACAGACAGGGGGCAGAGCCACTATAGCCATGGAGAGAGGTGGAAGAGTGGTGAGAGACATAAGGGACCAGATCAGGGTGAGGGGGACACACAGGGTTGTCTGCGGGCCTACCACCCAGCACCAAAAAAGCAAAGACCCTACCCACAGCCACAATGTACCTAAACACGCCATCAGAAAAGCAGATAAGACAGATTCCAAGAATAATCCCCAGGAGGCCACGTGCCCCTAGACTGTGGGGTTGTGAGTGTGGGATGGAGGAGCAAATAAGTCCCTCCACCTTCCACCCTCAATTCTGCAGTCTCCTGATGCAGCTATCGCCCCGAACCTCCTCCCCAGTAGCAGCAACACAGAGGGTGCAAACAGAAGGCCGTGAACTCTACACTGACCAAGGGAAAGCACTGGGGATGCAGCAGCATGCATGCCTGACTGCTAATACACCCATGCAGGCGTCATTCCAGAAACTCCCGGGACCTGACTGTGGGTGGGCTGGATCCAGGCTTTATCCAGCACCCCAACAAACACACACAGGAAGAAGCTGATCTGTGGCCTTGGTTCACCTAACTCCAGTCCTGTGTCATCAGCACAGACAAGCTGCTGAGGCTAGAGGTGCCTTAACCACTCCCTCCCAGCACGCCCCCAGTGGTCCTACAGCAAAGCCCCAGGCAGCACTGGATTTAGCATGGGAGGACCTGGCTGTGATCCAAGGGAGTCAGTTCCAAAAACAGCAGGATCTCCATGACACAGGCTAACAACAGCTAGCCAAGAGGAACCCCTGTGGGGGCCGTGATCAGTGGTGTGATCAGTGGTGTAGCAGAAACCAGAGGCCTCCAGCCAGACCAATGACTCCAGGCAATGAACACTTGTGAGTAAAAATGAATGGGCTAAAGGGTAAACTGTGTATGACTCAACGGGCCACAGCACAGCTTCCGTGACAAAGTTTCTTCTTCCTTTTTTATTTATTTATTTATTTATTTTTGGTTTGTTTTGTTTTTGGGGGTTTTTTGTTTTGTTTGGTTTGGTTTGGGTTTTGTTTTTCTCTGTGGCTTTGGAGGCTGCCCTGGCACCACCACCACCTGGCCATTTTTTGCTTGGTTTTGTTTTTTGATTTTTCTTTTTTTTAAATTTGGTTTTGACCCAGGCGTTGGTGGCGCACGCCTTTAATCCCAGCACTCGGGAGGCAGAGGCAGTCAGATCTCTCTGAGTTGGAGGCCAGCCTGGTCTCCACAGCGAGTGCCAGGACAGGCTCCAAAGCTACAGAGAAACCCTGTCTCGAGGAAAAAAAAAAAAAAAAATGGTTTTGATTGGGGGGGGCAGCTAGGGCAGATTTGAGGAAATGGGGAGATAAGTGGAATCAGAATGCATGATGTGAAATCCACAAAGAATGGATGAAAGTAAAAAATAAAACAAAAGGATCTTCAAATGTTGTCTCAGCACCGCAAGGCCAAGCACTGGCCCTAACAGGCTGGGCCCAGCCCAGGATTTATTCAGGGATACAGGTCCAGCTGGCACCAATGGTCAGACACCAGACCAGGTGAACACACTTGGTTCACAGCAAGGCATAACAAACCACCCAGAGAGCCAGGCAGGTAAGTGGTGGTGGCACACACCTTTTTTTTTTTTTTTTTTTTTTTTTTGTTTTTTCGAGACAGGGTTTCTCTGTGTAGCTTTGGAGCCTATCCTGGCACTCGCTCTGGAGACCAGGCTGGCCTCAAACTCACAGAGATCCACCTGCCTCTGCCTCCAGAGTGCTGGGATTAAAGGCAGTGGTGCACACCTTGGGAGGCAGAGGCAGGCAGATGTCAGTGAATTCCAGGCCAGCCTGGTCTACAAAGTGAGTTCCAGGACACAGAGAAACCCTGTCTCGAAAAAACAAAAACAACAACAAAAGCACCCAGGGCACAGAAGCCCCAATCTGGAATCTCCCAACCAGCCTTGCAGTATGAGCCTGGCAAGATGACAGAAACCATGGAAACCAGGGTTCTAGCCATCTGATCCTCACCCCTTGATCCTCCAGTCCCACCTGCCCAGCCACAGGACAGGACAGACTTTTGACAAGGTGGAGGAGTACAGTCCTGGGCCACAGAGGGAAGGGAGTTGGGCCTAGAAGAAGATGTCACCCAAGCTGAGCTCCAGCTTGGCTGCAATACATGTCCAATGCCAACAGCCAGTCAACCACTCGGCATGGTCTATAGTCTAGCCCTTAAGTGATGACCAGTGCTGGACCTAACCAGTAAACCCCAGAGATAAGCTGACCAAAAGGAAGAAACCAGTGATAGGTGAGTTGGGCCCTAGAAAGACAAGGAGGAAGGTCAGCACAATGGGGGGAGGGGGACAAGTGGGAAGAACTGAATATCCTGGGAGAAGCTGGGATGGGGCCAATACTGATGCTCTTCTCAGCCTCAGACAGTAGCCACCTCATCACCAGGTCTCATGGCCTGCTGTCTTCCAGGTCTGCTCTCTCTCTTTTTTTTTATTTATTTTATTTATTTTTATTATGTATACAACATTCTGCTTCCATGTATATCTGCACACCAGAAAAGGGCACCAGATCTTATAACGGATGGTTGTGAGCCACCATGTGGTTGCTGGGAATTGAACTCAGGACCTCTGGAAGAGCAGTCAGTGCTCTTAACCACTGAGCCATCTCTCCAGCCCCCAGACTCTCTTAAGATTTAGGTATACTTGGGAACCTCAGAAGCCCATTGCCTAGGGCAGCCGGGCTTGCCAAGAACCAAATGGCTCCTGGGCAGCAAAGCAGAACTGAGGCCTACAAACAACCAGGGCCTGTACACTGACCTACCTCAGTAGACCTCCCCACGCAGACCCCTGGAGAGCCTAGCCCCAGGCTCTGAAGAGCAGCTAGCTATCCCCACGCATACTCGCCCTCTAACAGCTCCAGACACATCAGATAGAGCTGGCAGCTTCATTCCAGACCTGAGATCAGTGTTCCTCCCAGCGGTCCCCCTCCTGGACACGGCACCCCTCCAACCCCGACAGTGCCTGGACAGATAACAGGCGCATGCAATACCTAGTCTGCCTTCCTGGGCATCAATGGAACAGGGAGAATCCTAAGGGACATACTGGTCACCCACAATAGCGAATGACAGTGGGTTTGGAAAATACCCAGAGACACAGAAGTCAAAGCCTAATCCTAGCCCAGGAGTCCCCAACAGACTGCGCCCCACCCCAGGCAGCAGCACCCACTCCAGTACCCAGCCAACACTCACCTGCTGACCGTTCTCTGGGTCCCTGAGCATCTCTGTTTCGGCAACAGAAAGATGGCCAAGTCTCTGTTGGCTGTGACACCCACTGGTGTACAGGTGGATCTGCAACAAAGTGATACACCCAGGCTGTGGAACCACCCTGCAGCCAGATCTCTCTCAGCTGGATGTGGGCGCCATAGAGACCACTTATAGCCAGGAAGGACAGAGCCGGGCTCAGGGTGAACCAGTAATGCCAGGGCAAGGGGATGCAGAGTTGGGACACGAGGCAGTTTCACCCAGGGCTTCCACACCTCGATCACCAGGAGGACACACGGAATGTGCGCAGGGCCCTGCTCCGCTGATAAAGGGGAGGCCTAGCCTACGGGCCAGAGCTGGGGGACCCCAGCGGTGGGTCCAGTGAGCCAAGAGTGCTGACAGAGACAGACCACAGGGAAAGGCAGTGCAGAGCACAGAGTAAATGGGTCCAGTATGGAGAGCCGTGTGCCTGGGCTACCTTGCTGAGGAGGGTGCACTGCTCCTGCTGACTGGACATGAGGCAACGCCACCTAAACCGCAGCTTTCCCATCAACCATTCCACTAGTCGGAGATCCACCGGTCTCTCTGTTTGCACGTGGGGTGCAGGAATTTCACGGCTGGCCAGGATATCACACTAGAGAGGGAACAAGAGTCAGCCCTGCTATACACCCCATCTCATCTTAAAGGGCGGAGCAGACAGGGAGGTGTGCTGCTAACATA